TATTGATTCAATCACAGTATGTGCATTTGCTATGACGGCCATAATTTCAAGCAATAAAATGTTCCTTGCTCAATAAGCCATCAACTTTCCTCCACGTTATTAATGAATGGCCCATGCAACACAATCACCAGACCTTTATTCTAGTCAAAACTGCAACTTTCAAGTAGGTTCTGTACTGGCATGTTGATTTGCCCTAGTCAGATGGCAGAATTAAGAGGAATTTCTTTTCAGTGCTCTTTTGTTTGGTTGACTTTACCTTTCAAGGGTGTTAGGGTCTACAGAGGGCATAAAGCAAAAGTCAAGGATCGTCAAAATTACTCTGGAAGATGCCTTAGGGAGCACCGTGTTGGACACTGCCCACCTCTCAGGAAGGCCAAGCAACATAGTTTTCCTCCACACTGTTGGGAGAGATTTTGTTTATTTTACTGATACCAGACAAAGTCATTGGCCTGCACCTAGAAGAATGACAACGATGTCACTTGAAACTCTGGAGCCCCAGTCGGGTGGGTTGGGGGGAAGATGTTCACACTATGAGAGGCAGGAGGGCCCCAAGACTCCCGCCTCCCATTTCAGCCTCTCTCCAGGGCACACGCACAGACCGGTGGTTGGGCAGAATTGCTCCCACACCTCAGCTCTTCACGTTCTCTTGCTTTTGCTGAACGCAGAGAGCACATAAATATCGGATGCACCTCGGTTACATTTCACAGTTCTTCCCTTCTCCACTCCCAACTGTTCTGTACTTTCCTCCTGACCCCCAACACTCCAGTGACTCTCATTCTAGAACCTGGCCAGAACCTGCCATCTGAGTCACTGTTCAGTGCTCCAGGGCTTTCTAACCATCTCTGGCCAATCAAAACATGCCAGAGCTATGTTCCAGGCCATCAGTGTCCTGCTAGGACCCTAACTTGTTAACGTGATAAGCTTGACTCATGCCACAATATCAATGGGTGAAAATGGTTTTAAGTGTTAACTTGCAATGATATTGGGGCCTAGACTGGACTTTCTAGGGCCTTATATAAATGCAAAAACTGAACAGAGATAACTTTTTTCCCCCCTTCTGGCTTAGACACTGAACTTACACAAAGACCTCTGAGAGGAAAAAACAGGTTAAAAAATAATTCTTTTATCTGGTTTTAAAATATAAGGAGATTTTTTTGTTTTTGTTTTTTTTACTTGACATTCTCATTTACTAACACTCTAAACTCTTAACCATTTTAAGTTGAATGTGATTCAGGCTGAAACAGTATTTACGGGCTGAAGGTTTTATACTGAAAGGAAAAGAGAAAATGTACTTCATGTCTTAGCACATACTAGGTATCTTTTCTGAAATATGGTGCTTTTTTTTTATATGAGGTTTTTAAAATTTTATTTGTTTTATTTATTTATCTTTGGCTGCGTTGTGTCCTCATTGCTGTGCGTGGGCTTTCTCTACTGCAGTGAGCGGGGGCTACTCTTCATTGCGGTGCGTGGGCTTCTCATTGCAGTGGCTTCTCTTGTGGAGTACAGGCTCTGGGCGTGTGGGCTTCAGTAGTTGTGGCACACAGGCTCAGTAGTTGTGGCCCACAGGCTCAGTAGTTGTGGCTCACAGGCTCCAAAGTGCAGGCTCAGTAGTTGTGGCGCATGGGCTTAGTTGCTCCATGGCATGTGGGATCTTCCCGGACCAGGGATCGGACCCGTGTCCCCTGCATTGGCAGGCGGATTCTTAACCACTGTGCCACCAGGGAAGCCCCTGGTGCTTTTTCTTAAAAGTCTAATTTCTTATCATGTTTCATTTAGGTGAGACATAATAGAACTTACAGATTTTCCAAATTGAATATTAATTTAGAATAAAACTTATTCACAAATTTTCCAAAACATTATTATGTATGAGTGTTTTCTGTCCATATTTTTCTCCTATAGTAGGTGTCTGTTATACAAGAAGGCTTTGGTTTGCTTTCTGCTAACAATTAGTAATTAATTTCTGAAATGACATTTTTTATTTGCTTTTGTTTTCAGAGTTGTGGTGATTTAAGAGGGTTATTAATAACATTTTTCTATCCTCAAGAATTGCTCTGTGGAATAGCTTCTCCCTGGTCCTTTCATCACATTCAGGCAAGGAAAGAGCAAAGGCAACATAAATTTAATCTCAATATACAGGATGAGGGGAGCAATATTAAACAGATCATAATTTTATTGTGCAAGTCTCCTAAAGCACTCCTAAACAAGTTGCAGACGGAGCAACATGGTCAAGGTGCTGTGTGGACTGTCATTATCTTCCAGCTGTGTGTGTGTGCGTGTCTGTGTCTGTGTGTGTGTGCGTGTGTAATCAGGAACTGCTGCCATTTTAACCAGAGATCCCAAGTCTGTATTCCCCGGACCCGGCAGACAGCAACAGCACAGGATGGGAGAAAAGTGCTGAAGTGTTGTCCTCCTCCAGTTCTGCCACACAACTCGTATGGGACCATCGGCATGTCACTCCTTCTTTGGGTCTCTGTTCCTCAGCTGAACACTAGGAGAGTGACAGAAGGAAGGCCGAGGTCCCTGTCAGTTCTAGGAGCCCAGGAATCCCTGTGTCTATAAGCATACTGGAGGCACTGGACATACCTACCCCAGCTGCCTGGCATGGATGGCCCATTCCTGGACAGAAAAGATTGAGGACATCTGGTTCCCCATGCCAGCAACTTTGGCATGGGCCAACACAACCTGCAAAGGGCATAATATCAGCATATTGTATTGCTGAGGTATGAATAATTCAGTGTGCCAGGGCAACCTCATTATCTGTACTTAGTCACCCTGAAAAAGCAAGAGACAGTCGCAGGGGAGCATTTGCACAAGGCTCAGTTCATAGTTCTGGGCTCTTTCTCATCTTTCAAGGCCATGTGTGGCCCTTTCTGGCTGCCTTGGCTGTGCCTGAGGGACTAACATTTGGTCACTCCTCATCAGGAAGAGCAATTATTCTCCAGGTGGTGGCAGGTCTGAGCAGCCCACCTACTCTCCTGGTAAAATGGAGGGAGGGAAGGTCCCATTTCAGGCCCTGGAAAATCCCTGGAAGTTCAGTTTTCTATATCCGAATGCAGAGTCTTTGAGTCGGTGGTAAAGTGAAAAGAGACTGAAACCTCTCGGTCACTGTACTTACATTATTAAATTATAATGAGGTTTAAAACACTGAGATCTTACAGAGCTTAAGAAGAATACACTCAGGGCTTCCCTGGTGGCGCAGTGGATAAGAATCTGCCCGCCAATGCAGAGGACACAGGTTCAATCCCTGGTCTGGGAAGATCCCACATGCCGCAGAGCAACTAAGCCCGTGTGCCACAACTACTGAGCCCATGTGCCACAACTACTGAAGCCCACGTACTTAGAGCCTGTGCTCCACAAGAGAAGTCACCACAATGAGAAGCCCGCACACCGCAACAAAGAGTAGCGCCCGCTCTCCACAACTAGAGAAAGCCCGCGTGTAGCAATGAAGACCCAACACAGCCAAAAATAAATAATTTTTTAAAAAATTTAAAAAAAAAGAATACAATGAGGGACCCTAGAAACAATACTTTCCATATCTCACGAAAATGAGCATTAAAATATTAATGTTATTCTAGAGCTTCATTGGCAGGATAAAATCTATAATAGTCCCAGGGAGGGAGTGGGGAATAGTAAAATCCAAAAGGTGATACTATGAGAATATGTTATGTGACTTAACCAGCCAACTAAACAGACAAAGATGATTTCTGAAAACCAAAACCCCTTACATCTTTATATTCTGAAGAAGGCAATTGACGTGACAGAAATGTTCCCTGCAGATTATTCCATTTGAATACAAGTGAATTCCCCATACATTGTTGCCACGGCAGCCAGTATATATTGCCTTATGGCCAGGCCCTCCCAGAGCCACGTGGAAGGTTTTCGACAAGAGACCCCAGACAGTGAATTGAGGTCTGATTTCTCCTTTGTTGCTTCTCTCTTAAAGCTTTCACACATGTCTCCGTGCTCATGCATCACACATGTGACCTCAGGCATGGAGGCTGGTTCAGAGGGGCAGAGTCCAGGACAGACCAGGGTGGACCTATATCCACCCTGAGGCAATACAATAGACCTGTCCTAATATACTAATTTCATATGTTGTCATTGTGTCTTTGCCATGTTAGTTCCATGGAGGAATTGTATTTGTGGGGAAGGGACTCTTTTGCATCCAGTTACACACATTCATTCCCATTAAGAAGGCAGAAAAAAGGCAAGACTACACTGGATATAGTGGTGCTCCCTGCAGATTCTCTCTTCAAAGCAGACGCTGCCAGGAATATCAGCTGCTCCCTGCTCCCAAGTCCCAGTGGCACCTCTCACCAGAAATAGTGCCCAACTACAGGGAACTGCCTCCCCCAAGGCCACACCCCCTCCCAGGGTGGCATGCACCAAGCGATCGGCTCTTACAGAGATAAAATCCAGGACAACCCTACAAGAGGATCCCAGGTCTTCTTCTCCCTGAGGATGGGCTGAGACGTCTGCAACCACACTGATGTTTAATGTCTCCCTTGCCCAATCCCACCTTCCTTGCACATCTAGCTCCTGTAAGAACTCTCCAATAAACCTTCCATACACAATTCTCAGAGTCCGTTTTCAGGAAACCCAACCTAAGATGAGGATAAATGAACGTGAATGGGCTGATTCAAACTTGGCAACCAAGTAAACCTTGGGTTAACAATTTTTGAAAATGAGTTGCATCAATTGGAACATGTTTTCTGTGAAATTTTCCCAGCCTAGGGTAGAAAATAACCTTTTCCAACTGTGTTCCTGTATTCACTGAATTAGAAGAAGATTATTAAACCTTACAAGCAGAGAAACGTGCACATTTTCAGCACACAGCCTACCCATAAGAACGTGGAGAACACCACATCTGGTAAGGTACCTGTGCCATGCAGGAGAGACCGCCTCCCCAGATGTGCATCTTACACTATTTAGGCAACAATGAGTCTGCTCACCTCTGGTGCTCTGTTTGAATTGCTGGTTACCCAATGGGAGCCTCTTACCTCCAGGACCAGCCACAGCTGTCCTCCCACACCGTGATCTGCTTTGTAAAACATCCCATAAAACTTTACAACGTTGGGGTGATTCGGAAGAAACTGCAAAATGTTGTATTCTGCCTCAATCTCCTCATCCATATCCTACACAAGGTAAAAAGTGCATGCTGGATTCAGTATAATGTGCGAGGAAGGGTACAGGAATGATATCACGAGCAAGTAACCATTTAATAAAGCATATGTAGTCTGTGTTTTTAATGTAATCATTACCATATCTTGAAAATACCTAACAATGGACATTCAGATACCAACTAAAGCCTTCTAACTGTTATATCAATAAATGTCTTCATTATATATTCTTAATAATAATATTATAAATATCTTTTTTAAAATTTAAAAATGTCTGAATTTTCAAAGCAATTAAGGAGAAGTAGCTCAAAGGGACCCAACCAGGATAGGACACTTACAACTTCACTGTGGTAAACAGTGCACAGCATTATAGGCTCAGTATTCAGTGCTCTGAAATAGGATGCCAGGCTAAGATGACTGAATACCACAAGTCTGGGTCACTTTGTAACTTACAGAGAGATCAGCCTCTGTATAAACCTAATAAATCACTCTTTCCAAAAGAATAACATTTGAAGAGTCCAGGGGACCAAAATCAAAACAATAGTAAAATGGACAAAAGAGAAAATCAAGGGAAGTTTTAACTCCAAATGGAGTCCCTTCATTCAGATAGGCTAAGGAGTCATAACTCATTTTGAGATTTCATGCCAGGTTTCATTATCCCTAGAAAATCATCCCCAGAACAAAGAAAGAAGTTGAAAGCTCAGTGTGTATGAAACACTATATTGTGGTTATAATTTATAACTGTTACTTACACTGATTGGATCTAGAATTTTTACTGCAGCCAGGCTCCCATCTCTCTTGTTAGTTACTTTGTAGACCTTACCATAGGTGCCTTTACCTATGGTCTCTACAATTTCCCAGGTATCTGTGGGATCTGGAAGCGATTCAAGTCCAAGCATCGTGGCGCTGTAATGAAACAATCCATACAGATGTTTCCTAGTGGGAAGAAAAGTTTGTTATGTGCAACAGATCACAGGATTAGTGGCACTAGGCTTTTGAAACAAGAATATTTTTATTTCTTCAGAATCCAATGGCACATTAAAAGGATCACACACCATGATCAAGTGGGGTTTATCCCAGGAATGCAAGGATTCTTCAACATACGCAAAACAATCAATGTGATACACCATATTAACAAACTGAAGGAGAAAAACCATATTATCATCTCAATAAATGCAGAAAAAGCTTTCAACAAAATTCAACACCCATTTATGATAAAAACCCTACAGAAAGTAGGCATAGAGGGAACTTACCTCAACATAAAAAAGGCCATATATGACAAACCCACAGCCAACATCATTCTCAATGGTGAAAAACTGAAACCATTTTCTCTAAGATCAGGAGCAAGACAAGGCAGTTGTCCACCCTAACCACTATTATTGAACATAGATTTGGAAGTTTTAGCACAGCAATCAGAGAAGAAAACAGAAATAAAATGAATCCAAATCAGAAAAGAAGAAGTAAAGCTGTCACTGTTTGCAGATGACATGATACTATACATAGAGAATCCTAAAGAGGCTACCAGAAAACTACTAGAGCTAATCAATGAACTTGGTAAAGTAGCAGGATACAAAATTAATGCACAGAAATTTCTTGGATTCCTATACACTAATGATGACAAATCTGGAAAAGAAATTAAGGAAACACTCCCATTTACCACAGCAACAAAAAGAATAAAACACCTAGGAATAAACCTACCTAAGGAGAAAAAAGACCTGTATGCAGAAAACTAAAAGACACTGACAAAAGAAATTAAAGGTGATACAAACAGATGAAGAGATATACCGCATTCTTGGATTGGAAGAATCAACATTGTGAAAATGACCATACTACCCAAAGCAATCTACAGATTCAATGCAATCCCTCTCAAACTACCAATGGCATTTTTCACAGAACTAGAACAAAAAATTTTACAATTTGTATGGAAACACAAAACACCCCACAAAGAAATCTTGAGAAAGAAAAACAGAGCTGGAGGAATCAGGCTCCCTGACTTCAGACTATACTACAAAGCTACAGTAATCAAGACAGTATGGTACTGGCACAGAAACAGAAATATAGATCAATGGAACAGGATACAAAGCCCAGAGATAAACCCACACACATACGGTCACCTTATTTTTGATAAAGGAGGCAAGAGTATACAATGGAGAAAAGACAGCCTCTTCAATAAGCGGTGTTGGGAAAACTGGACAGCAACATGTAAAATAATGAAATGAGAACACTCCTTAACACCATACACAAAAATAAACTCAAAATGGATTAAAGACCTAAATGTAAGGCCAGACACCATAAAACTCTTAGAGGAAAACATAGGCAGAACACCCTATGACATAAATCACAGCAAGATCCTTTTTGACCCACCTCCTAGAGAAATGGAAATAAAAACAAAAATAAACAAATGGGACCTAATGAAACTTAAAATCTTTTGCACAGCAAAGGAAACCATAAACAAGATGAAAAGACAACCCTCAGAATGGGAGAAAATATTTGCAAACCAAGCAACTGACAAAAGATTAATCTCCAAAATTTACAAGCAGCTCATGCAGCTCAATATCTAAAAAACAAACAACACAATCCAAAAATGGGCAGAAGACCTAAATAGTCATTTCTCCAAAGAAGATACAGATTGCCAACAAACACATAAAAGGATGCTCAACATCACTAATCATTAGAGAAATGCAAATCAAACCTACAATGAGGTATCACCTCACGCTGGTCAGAATGGCCATCATCACAAAATCTACAAACAATAAATGCTGGAGAGGGTGTGGAGAAAAGGGAACCCTCTTGCACTGTTGGTGGGAATGTAAATTGATACAGCCACTATGGAGAACAGTATGGAGGTTCCTTAAAAAACTAAAAATAGAACTACCATATAACCCAGCAATCCCACTACTGGGCATATACCCTGAGAAAACCATAATTCAAAAAGAGTCATGTACCAAAATGTTCATCGCAGCTCTATTTATAATAGCCAGGATATGGAAGCAACCTAAGTGTCCATCGACAGATGAATGGATAAAGAAGATGTGGCACATATATACAATGGAATATTACTCAGCCATAAAAAGAAATGAAAGTGAGTTATTTGTAGTGAGGTGGATGGACCTCGGATCTGTCATACAGAGTGAAGTCAGAAAGAGAAAAAAAAATACCGTATGCTAACACATATATATGGAATCTAAAAAAAAAAAAAAAAAAGGTTTTGAAGAAAATAGGGGAAAGACAGGAATAAAGACGCAGATGTAGAGAATGGGCTTGAGGACACGGGGAGCGGGAAGGGTAAACTGGGATGAAGTGAGAGAGTGGCATGGACATATATACACTACCAAATGTAAAATACATAGCTAGTGGAAAGCAGCTGCACAGCACAGGGAGATCAGCTCAGTGCTTTTTGACCACCTAGAAGGGTGGGATAGGGCGGGTGGGAGGGAGACGCAAGAGGGAAGAGATATGGGGATATATGTATACGCATAGCTGATTCACTTTGTTATAAAGCAGAAACTAACACACCATTTTAAAGCAATTATACTCCAATAAAGATGTTTAAAATAAAAGAGTATTTTTATTTCTTAACCAGCAACCTTGTGGTACTTTTCTATCTCTTTTTTTTTTTTTTTAATTTCCCCCTTCTATTTTAAGTAGATTTTTTAAAATGAGGGATATGAAGCCTCCTTAAGGAATGGGGGTAGAAGATGGAGGGGTGGGCAACATGGCTCTGAAACATCTTGAAAAACACAGTTCTAAAAAGGGAAATTATATCCGCACAGCAGGAGGGAGTAAAAGGGCCAAAGAAGATGTCTAGTCATGACCAGACAATTGTCATTCTAAGTTGCGGACTGGTGGCTGCTGCTGCAGGGAAAATAGCTGAAAGCCAGGGGTCTGAGACTATGTACCCAGGTTATAGTAACCTTGACCAGACCTCTCTGATGGTCACTAGAAACTAGTGTCTATGTGCAAAGTCTGGGCTGTTAAGAAGGAGGATCTGGTGCCTGTACCAGGCACTGAAACCATGTACAAACCCTTGTGTCCCTGTCCTTTGAAGCAGAAGGCTTATGTTTAGTCTTCCAGGCCTCCCTTGAGTCTCAAAAGGCTGGCTCAAGAGTTAATGATTAGGAAATGTGAAGATGTAGAAACAAAGAACAGCTGTTGGGCCAGGAAATTGGTAACAATTTAGACTATAAATCCACCACATAGCAGAATCACCAAACTCCTAGTTCCCTGAAAGGTATGGACAAAGGCCTGACACACATTCTTAAGCTGTTTTTACAGGAAGCAGAGCCCCACCAGATGAAAACTGCTGACCACAAGAACATAGACCCTGGACCGGTTGAAACCAGAGGTTGGTGATGCTTGAAACTTCACCTTGATGCCAACCAATCCAAGAACTGTGCACGAGCTGATCACGCACCCTGCAGCTCCCTCCCTCACACTGCCTTTAAAACCCCTTCCCTGAAAGCCATCAGGGATTTGGGGTCTTTTGAGCATGAACTGCCCATTCTCCTTGCTTGGTGCCCTGCAATAAATGCTGTACTTTCCTTCACCACAACCAGTGTCTGTAGATGGCTTTGCCATGCCCGGGTGATCAGACCCAAGTTTGGTTTGGTAACGGCATCAGTCAGTGCACAGTATCCATTGCCATCCAGGTCTTGGGTCCTGCAAGGATTAGCCAAGCCCAGATCCCATCCATACAGCAACAGCCTACTGTGGGAACCACACTGAATGGTTAACCAGAAGCTACAAACTCACTCTGCCTTAGCAGTACTCTACTGAATAAGGACATGGCCCTGTGGAATTTAAGTACCAGCAGCAAGCTTGGCAGGCAAACAAACTCACCCGAGACTGATCCCATGAAAAAGTCCCTTCAAGTGTAGTTACTCCAAGGCTAGAAGAGGGGTCCCAACCCTAGGCTGCTTCTAACCCCAAGGGAGGGACCATCAGCTCCAACACAAACAGCCACAGCATCCAATCCCCATGCTGTGGCTTGGTGTCCACCCAAGGTGAGCACTTCTGCCTCATGCTGGGCAATCCAATTTGCACTTCTAATTCTAATTATCTTCTAAACTGCATTCTCTCAAGACACAGCCTTTTGACTTGGAACAAAAATCCATTATTTAATCCTTACCCTTTCTGATGGGGGCATTTCAAAGATATTGAAAACCATTACCAAAACAAAACAAAACAAAATCCCAATAGCTGTTGTGTTGATACTGGAAGGGAATCTGTCTTTCCAGAGTTCACCTGGCAGGCATACCGTGCTCTAAAGGGGTCTCCAACCAGCACCTCAAGAACCCAGGCCAGGCTCACACTGAGTTGAGACAATGACCCTAAAAGGTCAGCTGGTCAAATGACTCCTGCCTTTCATCCGCTGGTTTCAAGATTCTAACTAACTCTAACCTTTCCTCCCGGCCAGTGTTTCACAAAATCCATCTTTCTCAGCAAATGCCTCACAATTCTTGCCATGTGTGTACATTACCTGTGCTATTAGTTACTAAATACATTTAAATTATTTGCTTTTTCATATAAATAAATGTCTTTTTAAAAAAATATTTTGGGCATGCCGTGCAGCATGCAGGATCTTAGTTCCCCAACCAGGGATCAAACCCGTGCCCCTTGCAGTGGAATTGTGGAGTCTTAACCACCGGACTGCCAGGGAAGTCTCATAAATGTCTTTTAAAGGCACTTTATATCTCTACCCTAAATCATTTGCCATATATCAAAATTAACAGCAAAAAGATGATTATGCTAAAAACAACAATTGTTCAAGTCCAGCCAGATACTGCTGCCCTCTGTTCTTTTGCAAAAAGGGAGATCATGGAGTGATGGGGTAGAATTAAAGCCTAGTACAAACTTTTCCCTTAACGTCATCAGAAGACGTGAAAAAGAATTAGCAAGGGAACAATTCTGTCACTATGTGATTCAGTGTCCTTTAT